GGTAGCGCTCCGGGCGGTGGCGACCCCAGCCCGGCCGCCGCCTTCCCCTGTCCCGGCGACGCGGAGCGGAGCGGGCAGCGGGGACGGTGCGGGTCCCTGTGGGATTGACGCGGAGGCGGCGGGGGTCGAGAGCGTGAGGCTGCCCGCACCCTCGGCCCCTGCGCCTCCTGCCGCCGCCGCCGCGGTCCCTCCCCGTCACCTCCGAAAGGGGAATTTTCCAGCTGGTAATTTCTGCTGCGTCAACGCCCGGCTCAGGAGCGCAGCCCGGGGGCGTCCTAGCGCCCCCCGCCCCCAGCTCCCGCGCCCCCAGCCGCAGCCGCCCCGCCGCGCCCGAGCCGCCCGCGCGCCGAGTTTGCCAAGAGTCGGAACTGCGGGAGGCGGGCGCGCAGGGCTCCTTGAGCCCCGGCCCGGCCTCGGGGGGTCATTGTCTCCCCCCAAAGCCGGACACCGGCCCCTGGCCGCGCCTCCATTTTCTTGACCGGCTGAATAGGGGCGCCGGGCCAGTGTGCGAGAAGGCGAGGGTGCGCGGAGCTGGGCCGGGGTGCGCGGAGCGGGGTCCGCGGTGAGCGCGTCTTTGTTTCTCTGTAAATAGACATGTCAGTTTCGCAGAGTAGCACGAGTCAGTGTCTGACAACTCAATCCCGGTGGCGAGTGGGGGGATTTTCAGCGCTGGTAGGAGGCTCGGGCTGGTATTGGGTTCCCTGGCCCCGCTAGCCCATCACTCTCTGTAGATTTAACACACACAATGGCTGGACCCAGGAGCGCTGGTGCAAACCAAGTGAGGAGAAAACAGATATTTTCTGGCACCGAGGAAATAGAAACAAAAGAAAGTTTGGCTGAGATTCTCAGCGAATTTCCCCACGTTTTCCGTGCTACAATCTGAGCAATAGTTTTGGGTGGATTGCAGCATTGTTTAAAGAAATGCTAATTAGGAACAGACACCTGTGCAGGGAGGACCATCATGCCTTTTAATTTCATCAATTGTATAATCTTGCCTATTTTGACTTCTTGTAAAAAGCTCACTTCAACTTTGGGTAGTCGGCTGGTGGATGCACTCCTGACAGGCCCTGGTGTTCCCGATATAAGGCAGTGTTTCCACTCTGGAAGGGCGGAGAAGAGTTTGCTCATCAAAAGGAAATGTATAAAGAAGTTTTACTTAAAACAATGTAGCGAGTAGTAGTATTTCATTGTAATGGAATCCTTCCCTTGATATATTTCATGATAGGATAAAGTAATCTGAATGTAAAACTTTTGGGGTCCTCAGCCTTGTTTTTGCAGGAAGAATAAGGTTCCTGACATGCATCTAGGGAGAACTGACTGCCCATTTAAATAGGAGCCTGACGCTGGCTGCTCTGCACAAGGAGGATCCGTGTTCCGGCCTTATTGAAGGGGAGGAGGGATGGAGGATTTATTATGAAGGTTTATCGTTGGTAGTGGTGGAATAGGGTCACTTTGGGGGTATTCAGACTATACCCAAAGTTGAGTTTTCCCCATTGGCTAGCCTGGATTGAATCTAGTCTCACTGACATCACCTCGGCTGGCAGACAGTTTTATATTGATGAGATGAAAGTAGTTCTGTGTCATTTAGTTTATGTCTGACCCTGGCTGCATGTCCTCATTCTTATTGTTGGGAAGGCATTGACCTCCTGGGCATTCTGAGTTAACCCTCCAGTTGTACCCAATTTGAGCTGACCCATGGTCCCTGGTAACCCTGCTATGTGTGGCGGTCACTCAGTAGCATAGGGAAGCGGGACCCACCACCATGAAACTATTGCAAAGATGCAGTAACTGATTTAAGTGTGGGTCTCTCTGCTACTGTTTGGCAGTGTGTTATTTACAAACAGTGTTGAACCAAATTAAATCTTAACAGAGTGAACTTTCCAAACATTGTCCTGAGGTTGGGTTTTGGAAATTAAGGGAAACTGGGCCAGTCTGTCCCTGCGGTCTGGGTTTCTGGGACAGTGTGTGCAGCAGTTTTGCTCTCCAACAACCACTCCTGTGCCGACATGAGCCGAGAAGCCAGTTCAGGGCACATCGCTCAGAAAGTCTCACCAGCTGCTGAACTCAGACTCCGCGCCACGTGCTGCACTGTTCTGGTTAAAGTGGGAGAGCACTTTGGAAGCCACTGCTTACCCTGGTCCCTGTACCTTAGGTCTCAGTGTCCACAGTGACTTTCTGTTTCTAGGAGCTTCATGCTCTTGCCTGTTATATAAAAAACGAGGGTGGCATCAATGATTGTGAGGTTGGCACGGGTTCTGTTATACATGGAGTCATGAGTTGGTACCGACTCGATGGCACCTAACAAAAACAGTAACTTTTGCTCTGAGCTGACACCTTTTACCTTAAAGTCTGTTGTGTGATGGTGGACCATGAACATTCCCTTGGGACTCTGTGCCCTCCCTTAAAAAAGCAAGAGTCTTAGTACTCAGAAGAAATGGACGTTTTTAAATCTGTAAAGGCTAGACATGCATGTAAGCTTTTGAAGTGCGCTTTTCTCACCCTAACCCTTTGCTTGCCCCCTATCTTTGGTACCACTAACTCTGGCCAGAAACTATACCCAGTGTTGGAGGCCCAGTGGAAGTGGGAGCATCCGGAACTTTGTTTTCTCCTTTTTCTGCCATCCTCGGGCCCTCTGTTCTGTGCTGTTGGTGGTGAGAAACAAGCCTAGCACTGTTGTATGCAGATGGGTGACCAACTAAAGGTTCAAACTCACCAGCTGCTCCTCAGAAACCCTTTACAGGGTTGCTGTGAGTTGGAATCGACTTGACGGCACTTTTCAACAACAAAGGTGGCTGCGTTATAGGATAGTAGCCAATGAGATTGTCAAGCGTAACTGAGGTGAGAGTTAGGAAAGTGTTTGCTCACAAGCTGAACATGTAGCAACAGTGCTTTTGGGATTCTTTTTGAGATTAAGCTGTATTACCGACTGGCTACTTTTAAATGTCATCAGATAGAGTAAAAACTGAACCACCTGGTGGTGTTAAAGCTCAAGGCCTATGGGAAGTTGGAGAGATGCTGTGAGTATAAACTTCCCCAGTGTTTAAAGCTTCTGGGGTTAGACACGTTCTTTTGGGGCCATGTTAGAGACATTCCCAAAGTTATGTATTCGTGACAACTCTCACTGTGCTGGGTCTGCTCTGTGCCAGACTCTAGGCCCAGTTGGGGGTTAGGCAGGGCTAAAGCTGAGAGATTGTGGCATGTCAGATATAAATTGTCAGGTACCCAGTGTGGGTGACAGATGGTAGTATAGACAGAGCCCAGAGTGCAGGGGTGGCTGGGACTGTAGACGACTGGAGTGAAAGGGACTCCGTAGGTGCCATCAGTATTTGTGAAGGGGGGAGAAGAGTCTACCTGCTAAAGGGCAGAATTCCAGGCTGCCAGCTGTGGTGACTGGCCATCAGGGCTGGAGCAAGGAGTGTGGTCATTTACAAGTAGACCTCCCAGAGTTTTTGCTTCACATGAACCACCCTTTCTGTGAGTTGACAATCATGGGCGGCCCCTGTCTTTTCCTGAAAGTGTTCTCTCACGGACCCCAGGAGCTCCCAGAGGGCGTGGGCGCTCAACTCTGAGCTTTCTTCTGAGGAAGATGCTGCCTCCATCTGAGTACCAGCTAAGCCATCTCTAACTGCCCACCGGACTCAAAAGATCAGTGTGTGTGTGTGTGTGTGTGTGTGTGTGTGTGTGTGTGTGTGTAGGATCAATTTTTAAAGTATACATACGATTTTGCCAGCTTTGCTATGTGCCTGAGCTGTTGTTTTCCCTCATTATTTCGCCTTTCTTTCTGTAAAATTTGTGCCACTCAAAGAGCCGCTTCTTATACATAGTAGAGTTGTCCTTGTTCTCTGATGCGTTGTAGACATACTGACACTCAGTGTGGGGAGCTCCCTGGGCCTTGAACTACACATACACAAACCAGCTCTGGACTCTTGGCGATTCTAAAACTCCATAGGGGTTTCAACGGCAGATTTTTCAAAATTCAATCACCAGGCCTTGCTCCTGTGGTGCCTCTGGGTGGACTTGAGCCTCCAACTCCTCAGTTAACAGCAAACACATTCACCATGTGTGTTTCCAGGGCCTGTCCGGGTTCCCATGGGCTGGCACGTGCTCAGCCTTATTATACAAGTCCCTCCTTGACGTGGTCACCTCTCATCTTCCCGGTTCCTTCCACACTTCCTACTTAGGTACACAGACATACCTGGGGACAAACAGCAAGGCAGAGGACCCCTAACTGGTGTCCTTCTTCTCCAGGTCTCCCTGAACAACCCGTAGAAAGAACATGGATTTGATGCTGCCCCATGGTGTAAAGGCATGTGGGGACTGGTCCTTGTGTTCAGGGTGTGGTGGGCAGGTGCACACAAATAGGCTTTCTGGAGACAGGGGAGCTCAGTGATCCGCCGTGGTGGCTGCGTGGAAGAGGTTGCGGGTGGAGTGGATCATCCAATGCCAGGAGGGACAAATTGAAGAGAACTCTATGTGCCACTGAGGCTGTCTGGGGACAGTGGACAGTGGGCAGTAAGAGAAGGCAGTGACTGCAGTGGGACAGTGGACCCTGAGAGACGAGAGATGGGGAGAATGAGTGTGCTTGGTGTTGGGTGGTGTCCTTTGAGGAACTGTTCTCATGACCCTGCCAAGTCAGGAGAAAGGAGGGCGGTCAGGGCTTGTGGCCTGGAAGGCTTGCACCCTCATATAGCATTCCAGATCAGACACCAGCTAAGATGAACGTCAGCCCATTCAGTGTGTGATGAGGCACCATTGCAGTGTTGAGACAGGCTTAGGTTTCTTCTAGTCCCCTCGACCCTGGTCCTCTCTCAACTCAAGTACTAAAGCTCCTGAGATTCTTTTGTTTCAGATTGTCTTGTTTTGCTGTTTAGAGAAGATAGCAGAGATGGCTTTAATTTGGGTGTTTTGTGTGTTGACTTGTAACTGTTTAATTAACCCATTTAGGTTCACGTCTGTCATCAATTTATTTGTTTCTCATTTCATTACTATGCTAGCTGTATAACAAAACATTTGCCATTTCAACATTATTTGCATGTATAACTCAGTGACAGACGTTTTTTGAAAGAGGCCGGAATTACTCGGCTTCATTTCGAGATGGAGAACGAACTGGCTGTAGGGGATACTGGCTCACCCTCCAGAGCAGAGGGGAGACTACAAACCCAGGGAGGATGCAGCTGTGTCCCCTCCCGTCTCTCAGGGGGAGCCATACCTCATTCTTCAGGGGAGCTCTGGTGAGGTGTGGGGTCTAAGATGCTCTTGTCTGTGTTGTCACCCCCCAGGACTCAGACTGGCCTAGACCTCTTGTCTTTAAAGAAGATTCAGGAGCCGTGCACTCACAGTCCTCTACACAAGTGCGGTGGTCTTCCTCACCTGCCCTCGAGGGGCAAGTCCACATGCCCTCCCAAGAACACAAGGCTACCCTGACTGGCAGACCATAGGAGAGAGGCTGTGCTGGAAACCAGAGTGAAGGAGAATGAATGGAGAGATGCAGATTACAAAACTGTTGTTCCAGGGACTGTGGTGTTGGGGATGAACAGTCAGAAAGCTGGGAAGCACCTGTCAACCC